GTAATTAAAATCGTTTATCTATGAAAAAAATATGAAGACTACTCACGAAAACATGTATTTTATTCTAAAAAATGTCAACTTCCACATTAATAACATCCTGTGTGGCAGAGGACTGGACGTGACGGTGGGTAAGTGCAATACTTCTAAATTGAAATGAATTCAAATAAACCTATTTATATATTAATGTATTTCTCAAAACTTTCTTGCTTTATTGTGCCTATATTTTACCAGTGCATCTAGTTGCATGTAAAAGACAAATAAAATCATGATCAAAAATTTCTATTTATTTTCAGTGAATATACCGATATCAATTATTACACATATTTTTATACGAAATAATGATTTACAAATGATTTAGCTAGATTTTAGGGTTCAATCAATTTCAAAGGTAATAATTCGTCTAAAAACGGCAAAATACCTTTGATTGAACTCTAAAATCTAACTAAAATTTTTGTAAATTATTATTTAAAAAAAAAATCTAAAATCTAGATTTTATCGGTTTAGATCAGACTGCAGCAATACGCATTCTGCGCGGTTATCGATTCTGCGAAATATTTTCTTATCGTCGGCTATTGCTATAATTGCTTTCTGAACTCAAAACACCTGTATAATAGGTGTTTTGAGTTCAGAAAGCAATTGACTATATCGAAAAGGTAAATATCATATAGCAGAGGTGATAATAAGGAACCTTGCGACACCCCAGAAGTGACATCCACGAAGTCGGATCTGTAACCACCCATCACGACGGCTTGGCGTTTGTATAAATCATGTCAATTTGGACATCACTCATATTATGTACGATGTAATTACTAAGTTCTAAAAGGTTAGTATTAACATTACGTGCTTTAACAAAACCATGTTGCGATGACGGTATACAGTGCTGCGAGGCTCTTCATGTACAACTTTTTCTAACATTTTGCCGAAATTATTAAGGAGTGAGATTGCTCTGTAGTTTGTTGTCTGCTTTGGTACCTTTCTTGTGTATTGGCACAATCTGAGCATCTTTCCATCGCTTGGGGAATATACCATCATCTAGAGATTTTTGAAATATAATTTGCAGTTTTTAAAAATAGTTTTTAGTGTTTTTGTGGTTGCATAGACTGAATGAACTGGTCTTGCATAAGGCGATTCCGAACCTCGCGAACTCTGGACAGGGATGTCGGACGGGTCGATCACGCTTTGAAAAAAATTGTTAAAAGCGTTACAGATATCTTTGCCGTTTGAAAATGTGTTACCGTCGTAGTTCATACGACAAGGGTAACCTGAAGATTTCCGTCTGGTTTTAATAAAGTTCCAAAAATCTTGAGGTGATTTTTTTATTTCTTTTTCAAATCTATCAGTGTATTTATTTAAATAATCTTTTTGAAGATCTTTGAATCTTAATGAAAATGCCGCGTAGTCTATGGGATTTTTAAACTTTTTCCATTTCCTGTGGTCTTTATGTTTTTCTTTTATAACGTTAATTAGTGACGAGGGATACCATTTAGGATAATTAAATCTACCAGAAACTGTTACCTTTGGGGACGCACTAATCAATCAACGATTTTAATTTTAAATATAATTTATCTACCATTTCATCGACGTGGCTCGAGCCCAAATAGGTGGTCCAGTTAACTTTCCGTAGACTTTCATTAATTATCGCGTAGTCTGCCCTAAAAAACCTTCTGATTGATCGCGGTTGGGGGCGAATTCTCTCTCTCTCTTAAAGATTCTTTGAAATTATACACAGGCGTAGTGAGGGGTGTATAGACCCCCGTTCGGAAAGAAGTACCTTTCGCTTGTTGGTAGAGGTTAACTATAGTGTCGGAAAAAAGTCTTGATACACATTTTTCAGCCTCACTCCTATCCGCTCAGAGCGTGTAACGCTCAATAAGAAACTTCGTTTCAAAAACCCTGACAGACATGTAATTAAAGGTAAAAATTTTTTTTACAAAGATTACTCCGTAAGATCAACGTATAGAATACAACCTTATTTATGCTTGCAATAACATAAGCCAACCACGAAATGAAAGAAGAAAACCCCCAAAAGCTGTGGATATTAGAAGCAACCAACTATCAGTACAGAATACTGCAATAACTACTAATTTTATAGAAACAGATGCCATTATTATTGCACTAAGTCTTATATCGAACCCCTAACATATTTCAATATATACAGTATGTAAAAACTTACGTCTTTTGGAACGTAGTTCCTTATCACGTATTACACTTTCTGAGCGGATGGGAGCAAGACCGAAAAATGTGTAACAAGACTTTTTTTCGACAATTCTTGATATAGTTATCAATCAAATAAAATTTATGCAGACCCTAATATTTTATTTGTTATTAACGTAATCATCCCAGATCATTCAGTATTTAATTTTTCATTATTGTTTTTGTACATAATAAATACAATTTATCTTGTTTTGTTTTTATTTAACTCTATTAACTTGATATTTTATAGTAAAAATTATAATGACTGTATAGCAAACGTCTACAAAAAGCGAAAGGAACTTCGTTTCAACCGGGGGTCCATAGACTCCTCACGCCGTTTTTTATTTTATCCCTGAGTATTATCGCCTGTCTGAAGGCGTATTTAGGGGCACTTACATAATTGAGAAAACCCATTGTCCCCATTCTCAAAACCATATACCCGGTCTTGAAATATAAATGGAGAGTTTAAATAGTGAAAAAAGATAGAAAACATCCATGGAAAATAGTTAAAACAACAATTTAATTTTTCCAATCAAAATTTAGGTGATACGAAGGTCACAGGGTCGTCTAGATATAGTTAAATTATATAGTTAAATACACCCAGACACAGAACAATCGATCGTGCTGATCACACAACATTTGTCCTGGGTGAGAATCTTACCCACGACATTTGGTTTAAAAGCCAGGACCGCTAACCACTTTCACCAGGGACTTCCTTTCTAGGGTATACCTGGTTCCCCGGCTATTAGTACCCGAGACGGCGTGCGGTTTTAGGCGGTTCGAGTCCGACATGCCACCGCCACCGGACGGAAAAATAAAAAAGGACCGCTAACCGCTATACCCACAAGCCAATCTAATATAACATATTTCAACATTTATAATAACCATGCTACATAATAAAATAAAACACAATTTAAATACTTACAACTTTAATAAATGCATAACTGCCATTAACATTCTTTTATTTTATTTGAGCGTTTTATTTTATCATTAATTACATTTTATATTGTTTTTACAAGCACAGCTTACTAAAAATTATTAAATACAAAAATAAAACTGTGCAAAGCTTGTCAATACTAGATCTTTAATAAACTCAGTGTAAATATGGTACGAAGAAGAAGACAACAGCACTGCAAAGAGAAGGAAAACTTGACATAAACCCTATACCAACCCGTCTGGCCAGCGTGGTATAGTAGGCTAAAACGTACTTTCTAAGCGGAGGTCTATGTCCAGCAGTGGATCATTAAAGGCTGTTGATGTGATGATGTGAAAAATGGTACGTATTTAAGATAGGTATACTTTGGGACATTCTGGGATACTCTGGAATACTCTAAAATGGGTACATTTTTTTTAAAAGATTATGTGGAACTAATTGTAATATAATATAGTTTGACTGAAAGAAACAGCACAAATGTTGGCTTTGGATGGTTGCAGATATATTTGTAAATATAGTGTAATTTTGAATCTGATAATTTTATTTTAAGCGTGTACCAGATTTGTACTGTACTGTACCAGACCAACTCCACGCCACACTTTAGGTAAAAAGGTGATGGTACAGACTCGACATGTCGACGTTGTGAAAGAATTGCACTTTAATTATTTTAGTTCCATAAATATTTTATCTTCATTCGTCAATTTCATCCCAAGTATTCCTATTCCCCAGTGGTACTTATTGCACCATTTTTATTAATAAATAATCAAAACAAAAGAACTTTATTCTTCGGTTGATATAAAGTTCAAACTTTAATTTCTTCCATGAATCCTTTAAAAAGTTAAAATAGGTATTAAAAAAATTCAGAGCTTTTTTTTTATGATAATCATAAAAACTTGTTCATTCAATAAATCTATTGATTCGCTACTTGAGCAAATGTATGAAAAAAAATTACAAGCTCATCATGATAATTAAATTATTTAACATAAAAATAATTAATATTTCCTACAATTCAGTCTTAAATACTACATTTAATTCTATAAATAACAATAAATAAATGCATTTTTAATAATTAAATTTACATTTTATGCTAAGATTTTATACAAAACTTTTTAAAACACCAAAGTCATCAATCATAAAGCCCTACTATAATATAATTGACCCTCACGTCAAATCTGTAACTGTTGAAGGTCAAAACGTCAAAAACTTTTATAAATTTTGTTTTACGTAAGCAAAAAAACATTTACATCCAAAAAAATCGTATGTTCGTATCAAATGAATCTTTTGAACAAAATTTCTTTTACCATATGTAGTTATTTATTAACTAGCTATCGAACAGAAAAATATGTGGTAACCTATTTTTATTTTGTTTTATATTATGTGAAGCTTTTATTTACTTTAAATTAATAAACCTTCTCAATAAATTAAATAACAACTAAATAATTTATTCATCTTTAAATATGTCCTTTTATAGAGAGCCGTTTTTTTAGATTGAATTATAAAGAATAAGTTACATTTCTAATTCTAATACTTTAAATGAGACAGACATGTAATTTCTAATTTTCAAATGTTGCCAAATTCATTTGTTAGAAAAAGTAGGGTAGCAATGTTACATATTTTTTTAATAAATACTAGGATTTATTCGGAAGTAACAATTGATTTTTAATCTTCGAATAAAAAATTAATGACTTTATTTATTGTTGATTTAAATTTTGATGTGCTTTAGTTATTCCATTTAATTTAAATTCAACATCTTTTTAAGGGACAACAATCTTCACTGTTGTCGCTTTAATAACGAATAGAAGATTATTTATAAATCCTAATAGCTTCAATTCATGTTACTGTTTGACATCAAATTCCAATTTATTTAAACTTTTCAATGCACGCCTGTGATGGATTTTAACCAAGGCTTGTAGTAGGTAGTCCTCATATAAACACCGGGGAGGAATGGTGCTGCGCACTTGATACCGTGGGATACCGTCCCCACCAGTTGCCATTTTCCATCATCTCTTTGGAGCACTAAAGGCCCACCACTGTCACCCTAGAAAATAAACAATATGATATTTTAGATTTTTTTTATTCGGCCCAACATTGTTTCTGGAATATGTCGGTCCATAAGTCGGTAAATGAACTAGAATTTTAAATATGTTGGAATTTATACGTATTTCTATTCAAATTGAATAAAGCGTAGACTCCATGCCATGAATTTGGTAATTAAGTTTTATTTTGGCATTAAATGTCCTATTGTATTAATATATCATATTAATCGTTAAATGGTCTTAGCACCTGACAATTAACAGTCAAAAATTCGTAGACTGTAATCTATCCCCTTCTGGTATTTCCGTTATCCGTCTGCAGTATTGTAGCTTATATCAGCTGATGGCACCCACCATGGGGCAACATACAAGTAACCAATGCTGTCCCTAGCTGTTATATAGCAAGCATGTTCTAAACTTTTCCTAGATACAACAGCACTGTAAAGAGAAGGAAAACTTGAAACAAATCCTATACCAACCTGTCTGGCCAGCGTGGTATAGTAGTTCAAATCATCCTTTCTAAGGAGAGGCCTGTGTCCATCAGTGGACTATCAAAGGATGATGATGAAACTTTTCCTATTTATGCTAAGTATAGAAATTTATCATGACCACATTATTATCACAAAGTAGGAGTGGTGGTTGACGAAGTAGTAGACCGGCTCCACCGAAGTTATACCGTAGCCACATGAAAACCGGTGTTAATCAACTCTTTAGTTGCTTTTTAACGAGTGGGGTTACCAGAGCTCAACCTCAATCATTCTTGGGGTGACTCAAAGGCCCACAAAGCTCTTGTGACTCTAGATGGTAGTCACTTACCATCAGATAGTCTCATTTAACCCATATTCCACAAAAAAATACAAAGCTGAAAATGTGTTATTACCTCGCAGGAGTCCTTTTGTCCGTTGGCGTAGCCGGCACATATAAAGGAGTTAAGGATCTTCTTTGAGTGGCCAGCTGTCTGGAACATGTCCTGGCAAGCACTATTTTCTATCACAGGTACCTGAAAAAAGAAGAAGCGCTGGATTGAATGTTATTACATCTAATTCTATTAATATAACGGGTCTACCAATAGGGATAACCTGGTTTTGACAGCTCATAGTGGCCATGTTTGATGATGGATCTTTGACGTCTCTTGACATTTGTGTTCAGTAAGGTTTGCCATTTTATCATGTCACGTTTCACTTTAAACCAACGCTTGGAAATTGTCCAAAACTTCTTTGAAAGTGACGAAGGAAACCCTGTTACTGTGAATGGCTATAACTCGATGTTAACCTAATATTTCTTTCCGGAATTTGATGATATTGATGCAGACGACCTTTATTTTCAACAAGACGGTGCACCACCTCACATTACTCGAGTGAACATGGAATTATTGCGTGGAAAGTTTGGTGAGTCGTTAATTTCGAGAAATCGACCGATCAGTTGGCCACCAAGATCGTGTGATTTAACACCTTTAGACTATTTTCTTTGGGGTTACGTTAAATCTAAAGTGTACAGCAATAATCCAGCTACAATTCGTGACCTAAAAACCAACATTCGACGAGCCATAGCTGACATACCGGCCGAAATGGTGCACCGCGTCATCGAAAATTGGCGTGAGCGGGTGACCGTCTGCAAAAAGAGCCTATCAAATAAATCAATCGGATGCATTTTTCATAAATAATTGTGTGTTTTATTCAATTTTTAAACCAGGACGTTCTTATTGGTAGACCCCATACTTTTATGAAATCCTGAAATAAAGTTCAAGGGTGATGGAAAAATTACTTTTAGGTTTTTGGCAACTTGAAGCCATCGTTCCACACGGCAATTTTTTTTCCATATGATTTGGATAATTAGCACTAGACTACTGTGCGCTTTTTAAGACACTTCTGCCTAAAAGGCCGGCAACGCGTTTGTAACTCCTGCGCTGCAGGCGTTCATAGGCTACGGTAGTCACTTTCCAATAGATGACCCGTCTGCTCGTTTGCCCCTCTTCCAATTTAAAAACACGAAAAGAGTAAGAATTTGTGATAGCCTTAGTCAATGACTTGTCACCATTTCATACATTTCTTTGAAAGTACAGCTTATATATGTATACACATACATAATGAATCAACAATTATTTTCCCATACCTGTACTTCCTGCAATATTGCTGGTACTCCACCACCGTATTTGAGTCTACCCCAGCCAGTAACGGTAGCCACTCGCCCGGTAAAATCAGATTCGTCAGGAGGCATGCAAATTGGCACTAGAATAAAAAATAATGTCATGGGCAAAAATTTAAGAATTTACAATATCATGAATATTTATGTTCATCCTCTTAAATGTGTTGTACAGCTTCGATTGAATAGAAAAAAACTAAATAAAGGTTGGGGTAGACAGCAGGCAGGTTAAATTGTCCTTCTGTCTGAAAAAACTGTCGCTTATAATAACTAGTACATTACAAATTACAACTTGTTTGTCACTGTTCCGCCTCCTCTCTGTCTTCTCCGGGCCTCAAAACATGAATATTCACAAAAATCCAAAAAAGATGTATTTTTTTTTTTGACATTTTGTTAATTTTATTAGTTAATAGCTATCATTAATTAATGTTTTGAGTCTCTATAAAAATATTTGCATGCCTAGTACAGGCAGAATATAGCTTGAACATTATACACCTTTGTAAAATCTGGTACCACCTGTATTCTGTGCAAATAAATGTTTCTTTCTTTCTTTCTTTCACTTTTGACTAATCACCCTCCAGTGATTAACTCAAATTGATTTAACACTGACCACACAATTCTGATTGGTTCAAGACAAAAACAAAATTTACATTGGGTACTACTGTAAATATTCTCAAAGGGGCGCGTGGCTAAGTGGTAACCGAGTAGGTTAACATATTGCAAAGCCAAGCAATCCTAGCCAGGTCAGTCTATGAATAAGTGACCATCGTTAACCCATTGAGACCTTTCTGTGCCTTGGAGAGCATGTTTAACCGTTGATCCCGGTTAGTCATACCAACATCTGTGGCAATCCCCTAGCCTTATAAAGTCGCCTAGTACTTGGGTTTCGGAAATCTGATGGCAGGCGCTCCGCGTAACAAATCGAAGTTCAGCCAGTTCCGACTTAAAGCCGACCCCAACCTAGTTTGGGAAAAGGAAGGAAGAAGAAGAAGACCACTGTAAATATTGTTCTCTTCCCTACTGCTGATTTAATTTCGATGAATTTTGATACACAGATACGGGGACTTTGGAGAAGGAAATTGGAATATTTATTTGTTCACCGAGAATTGTGTTTTAATCCAAAAATTTAATCGGTAATCTGTTAGTCATAGGAATACTTTACTATTTTACGAAAACATCTTTTATGACAGTTGTGAGATCCAGAGTTGACCGGAACTAAATTTTGGCTGAAGTTTTATTACGAGAATTGTCCTTCAGTTCTTACAATTATCATTGATCATCATCGACAGCATTTAATAGTCCACTGCTGGACATAGGCCTCTCCTTAGAAAGGAGGTTTTGCCCTACTATACCACGCTGGCCAGAGGGGTTGGTATTTCAAGTTTTCCTTCTCTTTGCAGTGCTGTTGTCCTGCGTAGTTTACTCCCTTAGTCGTCTCTTACGACACCCTCGGGATGAATAGGGGTGGTAACACTCTGTATTTTTAATCCGTCACATCATTGAACAGCTATGTATTATTAAAGAGCCTTGGTCACCTACCAATATGAGCATCGAATTTAATAGGTGACTCCAATTCCAACAGCGCCAGGTCGTTCTCGAAGGTGGCTGCGTCGTATTGTCTATGCACTATGACCTTACGCACGTTCCTTGATACTGGTTTCCGTGGTTCGTTGTCGCCTGATATGTCGTTTTCACCGAAGACTGCTACCAGAGAGGCTAGGAATCTGAAAGGAAAAAAATTAGAGAACTTTTTATTACATGCAATCACGTCTTCTTATCCGAAGAGGTCGATAGAGGCGTATTCAATGCCTACGTTTTGCAATATTTTAGGCCCACTTGGGGCAAGCCTATTACCGTTACCAATGCACACATTATATCCCATCATCACATAAACGGCCTTAAATAATCCACTGCTGGACATAGGCCTATACTGAGAAAGGAGTTTATGGCCTACTATACCAAGCTGGCCAGACGGGTTAGTGTAGGGCTTGTCTCAATTTTTCCTTCTCTTTGCAGTGCTGTTGTCCTGCGTAATTTGCTTCCGTAATCGGCTCTTACGACACCTATAGGAGTGGTGACATTTCGTATTCTTAATCTGACACCACACGGATGTGTGTCATACACCATGCACATTTATTTCAAAATAAACATACTTTATAAAGTATATATTTCTAAATATATAAATATTCTAAACAAATTACACATCGTGCTCATCACGAACATGCGTCCTGGGTGGGAATCGTATTCACGACCTCTAGCTTAGTAGTCAGGTACGTTAACCGCTACACCAACAAGCCCATCTTTTCTTTCCTTTAAAACGGGACTAGTCAATCCCACACGCCCACCACTGTAAAGCCTGTTCACCAGGATCAACAACAGCACAAACACACCGAGTATAATACTCGGGGAGTCCCTTGAAAAATTTAAAGTGTCTTGGAACCCGCAACGACATTAATTGGAAGAAAATTGGAAATATAATAAATCAACTGCCCTCCATTGCAAAGCGAATGAAATGAAATATTATAGGTCCTAAGTGAGCTATATTTGATTTCTATCATTTTTCTATCATTTCTATCTAAAAAAAAAACGTATCGTACAACTAACCCAGGTTGGCAATGAGCAGCGGTGGTAACGAATCTATTGGTGATAAGTACACCACCACACTTGTTTTTGGTGAAGAGGCCGAGCCATGTGGATTCCCTAACCAGCACCTGCCACGGCCAGGCACCGAACTTGGAGTTCTTGCCACCGACGATACGTCCCGTCTTTGATAGAGGACGGACACCACATACTGAAATGAAATTACCAGGAACATAATAAACGGGAACCTGATTTCTTGTAGTAGAAAGTAAAGCCACAAAATAAAGACTACATCGATTCTAATAATTGCTAATCCTCTGACCATCAATAGCCTTAATTAGTCCACCGCTGGACACCGGCCCCTCCTTAGAAACGAGGTTCAGCCTACTATACGTCGATTGCTAGACGGCTTGGTATAGGGTTTGATTCAAGTTTTTCTTCCCTTTGTAGTGCTGTTGTCCAGCACAGCTCTTTGTAGTCTTTTCTGCCCTTTGTAGTGCTGTTGTCCAGCTCTTGAATAGAAACAAACCGTATAACAAAAAGTCTGGCTTGTTGACTTTACTACACTTAGTATAGTAGCCAAAACCTCCTTTCTAAGGAGAGACCTATGTCTAGTAGTGGACTGTTAAAGGCTATTGTTAATGATGATGGTGACAACCAGGTGACCCGTCTGCTCGCTTACCCCCACACCATGAAAAAAAGATGCTACTTACAATTTTTATCGTTATAGTCAATGGGTTCGTCCTCATAGTTCTCTGTAGTTATTTCATCACTCAGCTCGGTGGTGGAAGTCGCAGCTTGTGTAGTGGTGGTCACCTTTTTCGTTGGTTTTGTCTTTTTAGTAGTCGTTACCTGAATGCATGGAAAAAATAAACAGTACCAATTCTACAACTTTCTAAGACAGTTCACTGTTGAGGTGGTTCGTCTATGGTTTCGTGGTAACTACCTTTTTACTATAATTGGGACCTTTAAGAAGATGGAAAGTATGAAATAGACAGGAACGTTTTCTGTCCTATCGTCTAATCAAATACATGTTTCTGGGAACCACAGTGTGTTGCCTCATAGGGATGCGACAAATCGCTTGACTCCATTACTAAGCCCCAGTGATGAGTAGAATATGGTCCCAGCGATCGAAGCCTCCATTAACAGCTAGGTGTTATAACAATAGACGTATTCCATCATCCTCTGCATTAATAATCCCGACAATAGATTTGATTAATAAAGACGACAAAGTAGAACAAGAGAGTTAGATAGATAGATAGATAGATAACTCTTTATTGTACAAAAAAAAAACATAATAAAAAGAAGAAATCAGTTTGTATACATAGTGTGTCTTATATCTAAACTTAAATTAATGTAACATGGAGAGTAAAATGTTAAAATTTGTACAATTGGCGGCCTTATCGCGTTTTGCGATCTCTTCCAGGCAACCACTGGATGGAGAAGGAGAATAGGAGTGAGATAGGGGGTTGCAGTTTGTAGATCGGAGATTTTTGTAAATTAAGACTATTTGATTATACAAACTAATTCAAACATATACACTAAACACATACACACATCACAACACAATAAATTCATTACACAAAATATACATTTAACAGAGACTATAGAAGTAAGAGACAGATAAATAAAAGATTTCTGACTGAGTGAAGGGACCCTCGCTTAGCAGCTTCGGAAATGCTCCTTCAGCAACCTTTTGAAACAGGGCAGTGTTTTGGCTCGTCTGATGGGCAGTGGCAATGCATTCCACAAGCGTATAGACTGCACTGTAAATGACTTGTCCATAAAAGTCGAGGTGTGCTTCGGCATTTCCAAAGTCAAGCTCTCTGACGATCTTAAGGACTTTGAATGCGTATCACGTAGGAATCTGAAGCGTTCCTTTAAATAAAGGGGAGTGTTGGGATTAAAGAGAATATTGTATAATAGTGAAAGGATATGAATATTCCGGCGAAGACGAATGGGTAACCAGTTAAGCTTATACCGAAATTCAGAAATATGGTCAAATTTGCGCAATCCAAAGATGAACCTTATGCAAAAGTTTTGGAGCCGCTCAACCTTATTAAGTTGGTCTTCGGTGAGATCGGGATAGCTGGTATCTGCGTAGTCAAGGATTGGGAGAAGAAGGGATTCTGCAAGCGCAATTTTGGTCGCAATTGGTAAAAAGTTACGCAGCCTTCTCAGAGATCCAACAGAAGCAAACAGTTTCCTACTGACTTCTTGTAGTTGCGGACCCCAGGACAAGTTTTTATCGAGGTGAATTCCCAGATTTTTAATGGTGTTCGAGATCGGAACTAAGGCCCCATCGCAGTATATTTGGGGCTGATGTGACCAATCGACTTTTGATAATGTCCTAGTGCCACCGATAATGATTGTTTGAGTTTTAGATGGATTCACTATTAACCCGTGTTGCCTGCTCCACGTACAAATCTGCTCTATATCCCGGTTAATAATCGAGATCGCTGCTCCTCGTTGTTCCACGGGTGCTTGAGCATAGATCTGCAAATCGTCTGCATAAAGGTGGTAAGATGAAGCTAAGTTATTGGAAATAGAGTTTATAAAAACCGCGAAGAGCAAGGGAGATAAAACGCCACCCTGTGGTACGCCAGCAGTTGTAGTGCACCAACCAGAGAGTCTTTCATTGATTCGAATACGCTGCCGACGCCCGAACAGGTAGTTACGAAACCAGTCAACAACCGTCGGAGATATGTTAAGAGAGCACATTATGGCAAGCAAGACGTCAAAGTCAACAGTGTTAAAGGCGTTACTAAAGTCTAGCAGCGCCAGCACAGTTAGCTTGCCATCCTCAAAGCCTGACCGTATATCGTCCGTGATATGAACCAGTGCGGTGGTGGTGCTATGTCCAGGACGAAAACCAGATTGGAGGGAATTTAGAAGGGAATTTTTATAAAGATAGGGATTAATTTGATTGTAGACAAGACGTTCGAGAGTTTTAGATAGGAAGGGTAGAATAGAAATCGGACGATAATCGGAGAAACTGGATGGATTTGATTTCTTAGGTAATGGAGTTACTAATGCTTCTTTCCAAGCAGTTGGAAAGTTTCCGGTTGCCATGGAGAAGTTAAATAAGTGAACAAGGACAGGAATGATTTCTTCTAGGATAGGCAGGATCATATCACGGCTGATACCATCGCTACCAACTGCGTTGGAGTTAATAGAGAGTATGCTCTTCCTAACATCACAATCGGAAAATTGACTAAAGACAAATGTAGGAGAGTCTAGAGTTGGGAGAGAAGAAAGATATTGTATCGTGTTATTTTTTGTTGTCCCGTCAAAAGGAGACGACGTGGAGAAGTGTTGATTCATCAATTCGATATTTACGTTTTTGGAAGCCGTATGTTGCCGTGACTTCCCAACTCCTAGTGATCGAAGAAACTGCCAGACCTTGGCCGGATCCCCATGTTCAACAGAGGCATGGATAAATTGGCGTTGTGCATTCCTACACACCTTGTTGCAGCGATTCCGAATTGCGACGTATTTCTCCCAATTTGTACTACTTGGACAGCGCTTAAATCGGGACTTAACTGCGGATTTTTTAGACAGGAGGAGTTTTATATCTGCAGTAAGCCAAGGAGATGGCAGATGCTTAACTTTTATTTTGCGCAGTGGAGCGTGTATGTTGTATAGACTGATCAGAGTATTATTGAAAAAGTCTACTTTTTGGTCAATGGAACCCAATTCATATAAACGACCCCAGTCAATACTGCTTGCATCCATGCAGAGCTTGGTTACATTTATGGCTTTAAAATTGCGTTGCAGGAGGATTGTAGGTTTCATTTTTGGTGTGCGGATTTTATAGGATAGAAAAAGAAGATTGTGGTATGAAAAAGCATCCGCAGAAAATTGGCCGTGACAGGCTGCACGTTCAGATGACGAAACAGCGATGATGTCAATGAGTGAGGGGGTACAGTTTGGGAAGTGATGTGTGGCACTCAGAGGAAGAATGGAGAGATTGTTCGATTCTAATGTGTCACGAAAGGAGGAGGACCGGAAATCACTTTTAAGAAGACAAGTGTTAAAGTCGCCCGCGAGGATGGTATGACTATAGGAAGGAGTGAAGGATTCTAAGAGATTATCTAGGGAAGAGAAGAAGTCAATGCGGGAAGAGGGACAGTAATAAGTACAGAGTAGTATTTTGTTATGATGGAGTTCAACCTCCAGGAAGAGGTGCTCGCCAGCATTCGGAGGCGGTGGTTGTGTAAACATACTCACAATAGAATGTTGAATATGCGCTCTGAGATAGATGGCTACACCACCACCGCCGCCCCACGTGCGGTCATTCCGAATGAGTTGAAAGCCAGGTAATGAGTAGGAGGCTGAGGGAAGACAGGGCTTTAACCATGTTTCGGAGACACAGATGGCGTGGATGTTCGTACAGTTTAAGGAAGCCAGCATATCAGGAAAATGAGCCGGAACATAAGATGCTCAAAGGACCATTGAACCTTTAAAGCTAATAGTCTCATAGGTTTAAGGCTTTTGGATACTTACCAAACTACCCAAAATGTTTTCTTTCATAGGATTTCGACACAATAATATTTAACACAATTTACTATAAAGACTATTTATCTTCAGGGATAAAATTAAAGAATTCTCATTTCACTTTCGAGATAACTAGGGCAGAACATCAAATGTAAACAATAAGTTTAAGAACACTAGGTTTTAAGTCAAAGTCGCGTGATCTTTGTGCAAATCTAACAGTATAGGTGGCGCCACAAGGTATTTTGACGATTTAAAAAGTAGTCTATGTGTTATTCTAGTTCATATTCTATTTTCTCATTCAAATCTGTCCAGGAGTTTTAGCGTCAAGAAGTAACAAACATACACAGATACACAAACACACACGCAAACTTCCGTATTTACAATATTTCAGTTGGATTAGTCCGTAACTAAATAAGACATAACCTTTCCGCAGCGCGCGCAAACGGCTCGTGTATTAGTGTAGCATTTTTTACTTATGATAACTTCGAAATTAAATGTTCTTTCAAGTCAAGTTCTTTTTTGCTTCTCATACTACACAGATAACAAACGACTAGACTAGATACATAATTGCACTGCGAGAGAATAAACCCATGAAAACTTACATTACAGTTGAATGAATCTCAGATACAAAATGTTGAATATCAACAGCCATTATAATCATTGTTCATAAACTAGTATCTAAAATGGTTAGAAACATAGAATTCTGGTATCAGAAACGTGTTAAATCAATTGAAATTAAAGAAATGATGTATTTTGGATCTCACTTTTAAAAATGATTTGATTTGATACGGAGCGATAAGGTGAAAATGGTTCTACAACGGTGATGGATAAAATGATCAGCTCACGTAAATAATACGTCCGCTAATCCTAAATTATCTCAACGATTGATAGTTAGAAGTACAGTATGGCTTATGTTGCGTGTTCAATTTCCATTCATTGCCAATATTTTGTATGTATAAATGTCAGCCTTGGTGTGCTTGTTACACAGACAACAGTATGTATATACATATATATATACTATATAACAGATTAGGTAGCTAGAGACGTTATAAACACCAATGTTTTGCCGAATATAATTTGGTCTATCTAAACAGATGGGTGCGAAACATGGAAGGTTACAAAAGCCATCTCACATCGGCTCCAAGTCTTTGTTAACCGCTGCCTTCGCCTAATCCTTGGGGTATACTGGCCCGAGAAGATATCGAACGAAAACCATTGGAACACTACCATGAACCTCGGATCATCAGATCATGCGCTGCAAGTGGAACTAGATTGGTCACACTATGCGTAGGGATCCGATCACTATCGCCAAACAGGCGCTGAGTTGCAACCCGCAAAGAAAACGTAAGCGCAGCCGCCCAAAGCCAACCTGTTGACCCACTGCGGGGTAACGGGTTTGGGAATTAAAGTTGGGAAAATTGGATGAAGCTATGAGAGTGACGGGATCTTGTTCATAACATTAGGGAGTGTAAACAATAGCTCTTACCGGCTTTTTTGTAGTAGTAGTAATTGTTGTTGTTGTCGCTGGAGTGGTGGTGGTCGTTCGTCTGGCTTGTGTAGTTAATCGCACTGGCTTTCGAGTCGTTCTCACTGGCGGCTTACGAGTCGTAGCTGTCACTTTACTCGGCTTTTTTGTAGTCGTTAAAAAAGGTCTTTTTGTGGTCGACACAGTCTTTTTCGGTTTTTGTGTGGTCGTTGTCAAAACCGTTCTATTAGGTTTTGCACCTAATACTACTATATCGTGAAGTTCTTGGAAGGTGCCTGCGAGATTTCCTACTATTTTGTTGACGAAAACATTCATTTTGTCGTTTAGTTTATCGTCGGATTCAAATACTGGTGTTGTGAAGCCTAAGTCAGGCAATAAATCAAATTCACTGTCAGATAAGGATATGCTTGTGTTGAAGACCGCTGGATTAGAACCACTGGCATTAAGCATCGGGTTTCTTACTGGTGGGAAATTAATTGAATCATCTGGCGATGTTTGCATTTCTGGCTTGATTGTAGTAAATTGTTCTGAATATTCATAATTTGTACTTGAAGATACAGGCAAAGGTCTCGTAGAAACAACAGAAGGTTTTGAAGAAACCGGTGCAGGTCTTGTAGATGTTTTTATTGGGTATGGTGTTGTAGCACCAGGCTTTGGAGTGATAACTACGGTTGGAGACGAGGGCATAGGTTTGTATGACGAAGGTTTTTGGACATAAATATTGTTCGTTGATGAAACATGGTTGTTCACTGTTATTTGACTGACTGGTTTCTTGAAAGGCTCTTGAGAAATTTCTACAAATTGAAGTTCATCGGCTTCTGGTTTGGGAGTGGTATTATAATTGTCATTTAATACTATGACAGTTGGTGTTACGCTAGAGTAGGTATCTACTGTGTTATATACATTTGGTGGAATTTCAGGTCTTCTTAAGGGAGGTGTTCCAGTCACATAACTCGTAGAAGGTGGTTTTCTTGTCGATGTCGGTTTTGTCTTGGGTCTGTATGTTGTCGAAGAACTGACATAGCTGAATGTAGACAAATCGCCAAAATCAGTAGGATTTGTAGGATACCTATTGAAGGCATCTATAGCTACTTGACTAGTAGATTGACTGGGGCTAGGTGAAGAGTAGTATGATGACGGTTTATCATCCTGCGGTAAGCTATTCGGAGTCGTATGTATATAATCATAAGAAGGTTTCTTGTTTGGCAAATCAACATATGATGGTTTCTTCGTTATATGTGTTGAAAGAGAAGAAGGTTTTAGAGTGACATAGTGACCAGAGGTCGGGTAACTTGAATATGTGTATCCTGGAGCTGGTGAGGACTTAGTCTCACTTATATCCATAGCAGGAGTAACATCTTCTTTATTATTCGGTGTGCTTTCATTTAACATCTGAATGATTGAGTTTATGGAAGACAATTCTGGTACTTTTTGAGTACTTTTTGTGGTCGCGGAAACGATTACATAATGTTCAGTTGTAGAGGTAGGTTTCGGTTTAAATATTGGCTTTACAGGGTGATGTGTGGAAACGGTTTTTGGTGGTGAAGATACAGTTGTGCTCGGTGCTACCGTAGGTTTCGTCTGCATTGAAGACAACTGTATATGAAAGTCTGATGGCCTCACCACTGTGTTATCAACTGTACCATTCACATGGAATAATATTGTCTCTGGTGTGCCATGATCTATACTGCTATGAGTATAATAGTCTGTGTTTGGCTTTATATAATAAATATCACTATCTTTAGGTGGAGAATTTAACAAACTATTCGTAATTTGTGTAAGTCCGTCTGAAATAATTTCACCCTGTTCTTCGTCTGAACTTAGTGTATCTTCAGGCTTCAGTGTTGTCAATTGAGACTTGTCTCCGGGTTTGTATCCTGGAGTAACAACAGGTTTATAGCTATTATGCCAAGCGCTAAGTTGATCTGTTTCATAGTCATCAGATTCAGTAGCATCTGGGTAATCTAGGTAGCTCGTCATAACAACACCTGGGCCTTTGGGTATATGGGACTGGCTGTATGATTTTAGTTGACAGCAGGCTCCGAAGAGGAAGCCGTCCATGCACGCTCCAACAACTTCTCCCCCTCGTTGGGCGCACTCGTGATTGAACATACATATCGTATTCCCTCTGTTGTATTTTGCTGCTCTTGACGCTTTACAGTATGACGGCGTTATCCGATAGCCGCCGAAGAGTTTTCTTGAATCTGGAAATAAGAAAAAATGTTGTTAATATTTGTTTATCTCTTCTGCGAGTTGAAGTTGTCTGACTACACATGAGAGTAGTACTTCAACCCTATCAAAGATAAGCTTTATGTTCCACCTAGAGTAAGAGATACCGCAAGTCTCAGGTGGAGAAATGTTTTTCGACTGCAGTAGCTTGAGGACACAAGAGAGATATTAATGTCTTTTTAACGAAGAAACAAGAACTTTTCTACTAAAGTAAATTAAATATTCGCTCAAGAAATCAATGCTGCAGTCAACATTGACTGTCTATCAATGTGTGTTTAATTTTTCTTATGACACAGTTTTTGCTGTCCGACTTTATGATAATTTTATTATAGTAACATTGTAAGTTACGCAAAAGACATGTAGTTTTATATTATTTTCTAAACAGTTCTACAGTCTGCAACAAAAATTCGAATGTGTTTCCAGAATGTGTTATAAAAAGTTGTGTGTTTTAGGATCATTATTTTCATCGCAAAAAAATTGTTGAATGAACCCAATCATATCACATCAACAGCCTATACTAGTCCACTGCTGGACATAGGCATCTCCTTAGACAGGAGGTTTTGGCCTACTATACCACGCTGGCCAGACGGGTTGGTATAGGGTTTGTTTCAAGTTTTCCTTCTCTTTGCAGTGCTGTTGTCCTGCTTAGTTTGCTCCCTTAGTTGGCTCTTACGACACCCACGGGATGAATTGGGGTGGTGACAATTTTTATTCTTAATCCGTCACCACACGGACCCAATAAAGATGGATTAAATTAAATAAAGAAAAATACTACTCCGGTAGTTGTAGATTATATTTTTTTACAAATACACTATTAATCACTTGTGTTTCAATAATTTTGCTTTTTTTTTCGTTATTAAAAATTCAATAAAAATCTCCATTTCTGAATTTTTTATAAAATAATTATATTGTTAGCGCTTTCCATTACTAACTGCAACACTTTGTACACCTACTAACTGTTGTATATATTTTGTTGTAGATGATTTCTGTTGTTGATCATGTATGTTATGTAATGTAAAATACTGGAATGGAGAGCTATATTAGACCTTCATAACACTAACTGTATATGTATTTCTCAAAATCAATTGTCGTGATCCTTAGGCTAATCACATGTTTCTTAAAAAAGGTAGTTGTATAAAGAAAGACTACACATTTCATATTTGCGAGTACAGTCGTGACCAAAAACCTGTTTACTCGAAAATAAAAAACGATTACAGTGTTACACTATCAAAACAAGCTTTCAGTCGGTCAGCGAGAGTTAGTCTGTACAGTTTTCCCGCCATCTCACAAACTGTACTCCCTGACGTATACGTGACACTTTCCACCGTTTCTCTCGTCACGAGCCAAGTAAATATCGCCAATGATTTGCATAAAATTTTGTTTTTGGCTTAAATTCAATCTTTGATAAAAAAATGCCGATTGATGTGGCAAATTAGTTTTACATCCGACTGTACCATAATGGGTTGGCGGTAAGTGGCGCTGCTGTCGGTATGACACCTAATCTATGAATTCTAAGGCGGTACGGAGTTCGCCTCGTCAGCTGGAAACTTCAATTGGCATTTGGTGATGAAGCACCATATCGCAGCTCTGTGTATTCGTGGTTTGGTTTGATCTCCATGACGAGGTACGTGAAGGTCGGTTGGCGACTATAGTTACAGACTCTAATATTGACAACTTATTGAAACTGACAAAAAAAATACTTGCCAGTAAATTCGTATTTTTTATGCTTTGGAATGAGTTAAGTGCAAAACATTTTACATGTGCATCTGAAGGTTTGGAAGCTTTACTCTCGATGGATACCGAATGAGTTAACGCTTTGTACGCCTGCTTTGTACATTGGTTTCAGCGAATGTAAAATGCATCAATTGCGAGAGAATATATGTACTTTGAAAAACAAAAAATGTATCGTAAGTCTTATATCTATTTATCAGAATCCAAAAATTATTTTAGGATGCCCTAAGTATATTTCAAAATTAAGCAACCGTGGCCAGGTCCGTCTATGGATGGGTGTCGTATCTTAACACATTGATAATGATATATTTAAGAAATCTAGTCTAGTGGTTAGTGACCCCGACTACTGCGGTCGTGGGTTCGATTTAACCCAGGACAAATAAATTGTACGATGAGCACGATCATTTGCTCTGTGTTGAGTGTAATTTATCTGTAACTAGCTTCGCCGGCAGCTTCGCCTACGTGAATTTCGGTAACCGTGATCCTTTTTTCGTCCGGTTTATATAGCATAAGATTTTTTGCGACCTCTGCAACAATAATCGTTAAATTTCAGTCAATTTACATAAAATTATAGTGTATTGTACACCTAAACCTTCTTCAGAAATTACACTATCTATTGGCGAACGAACAAAAATCCGTTAGGTTTTTGAGTTTATTGCGTTGATACAGACAGACAGACGCGGCCGGGGGACTTTATTTATAGTCTGGTTACCATAGCACAGGCTCTGCCTAGTTTAGGATCAGTCGGCCGTGTGTGAGACCTGAGAGATTAAAAAAACTTTGGATTGGATAGAACATAGAAATATTTAAGTGGATTTATTCCTATACTAGCTGACCCGCGCAACTTCGTCTGCGTCTCTCAATAGAAATAAATTTTCTCCGTTTTTGAAACATTCTTCATTGGTGCTCTGCTCCTATTGGTCTTAGCGTGATGATACATAGCCTATAGCCTTCCTCGATAAATGGGCTATCTAACACTGAAAGAATGTTTCAAATCGGACCAGTAGTTCCTGAGATTAGCGCGTTCAAACAAACAAACAAACTCTTCAGCTTTATAATATTAGTATAGATATGGGGTCTACCAACAAGAACGTCCTGGTTTACAAATTGAATAAAACACATTTTTTTATGAAAAATGCATCCGATTGATTTATTTAATAGATAATTTTGTGCAATTTATGTTTTAAATTATTTATCGGCCAAATGACCGCCGCGGCTCTTTTTGCAGACGGTCACCCGCTCACGCCTATTTTCGATGACGCGGTGCACCATTTCGGCCGGTATGTCAGCTATGGCTCGTCGAATGTTGGTTTTTAGGTCACGAATTGTAGCTGGATTATTGCTGTACACTTTAGATTTAACGTAACCCCAAAGAAAATAGTCTAAAGGTGCTAAATCACACGATCTTGGTGGCCAACTGATCGGTCCATTTCTCGAAATTAACGACTCACCAAACTTTCCACGCAATAATTCCATGTTCACTCGAGTAATGTGAGGTGGTGCACCGTCTTGTTGATAATAAAGGTCGTCTGCATCAATATCATCAAATTCCGGAAAGAAATATTCGGTTAACATCGAGTTATAGCGCTCGCCATTCACAGTAACAGGGTTTCCTTCGTCACTTTCAAAGAAGTTTTGGATAATTTCCAAGCGTTGGTTTAAGGTGAAACGTGACATGATAACCTTACTGAACACAAATGTCAAGAGACGTCAAAGATCCATCATCAAACATGGCCGCTATGAGCTGTCAAAACCAGGTCATCCCTATTGGTAGACCCGTTATGTCTCATAAACAGAAACACACTAACGCAATATAATAAAATTATGCATACAATTTTTGCACAAAGTGGGATTAAACCCCGTGATTGTTTGGACAGTCGTCATGAAGCTACGTTACTATTTGTGTTTTTTTAACTAACAGATAATTGATACCCATTTGATACCCATACACACTAGACATTTTTAGCCTTTTAAGTAACTATTTTCTGTTTTATATTAATATTTTTTATACTTCATTAAATCAAAAATACCGTGTTCCTGGCTGTTTAAATATATATTTATACAAACATATACATACATATATATTTATATACTGTCTAACATTCTTAATGTGTAATCTAAATTCACCAGGATATAGATTCGATTCCGTTATTATTAGCTTTGCATAAATACTGGATTAACGAAAGTTATATGTGAACCGTATGGGTGGGCATCATCAATCAATCAATCAATCAATCAATCAATCAGTTTTTATTGTGAAACATAGGTATACAAGGTTGTTTACAGTGGTAGAATGATCTACTATGTTCTGCCATTTAGGCTTACAATAATTAAAGAGAAAAAAAAAAAAAAATTGTGAAACGCTAAATTTAAGACATGCAAACAGAATTACATTGAATTGTCGCAATCAAAGCAATATAATACTTCAGTTTGATTTTTCATACCTTAGAGCTTAAAACATGCAAAATCAATGTCTCTTTTTTATAAATTATGTATATAATTTTAGAACTATGATGTCAATAAAGTAATTACAATGTCAAATAAAAAATAAAGATAAATAATAAATAAAAATTGTATGTATTTGTAAATTCATTTCTTTTAATAAATTATTTAATTATCCCCATTTACCATCTAAAAATTCTCTTATATCATAATAACATTTTTCAGATAGGCATTCTTGTAGATGTTTTTTAAATGGGATTATGTCTAGATTTCTGATGTGATCGGGTATCTTATTATAGATGACAGGTGCCATACAGAATACACTTTTACGCATTAATTTTGTATTTGCTTTTCTTATTCGCATCCTATTACTGGTGTGGGTTCTTCTATTGCGAGTAACCGTATCAGCTAATGTTTCGAACAGTTCCAGGTTCGACTTTACGAAAACTGCTGTTTCATAAATGTATAAAGATGGCAATGTCATAATTTTATACTTTTTAAAATATGGTACACAACTATCTGTAGATTTTAATTTGAACATTGCTCTAATGCACTGCTTTTGAGATTTGAAAACAATTTCTTTATTTGTCGAGTTTCCCCAGAATAGTATGCCATATCTAAGATAGGAGGCGGTTATTCCATGATATGCTTTAAGTATACCTTCCTCATTGAGCAGAGGTGCAAGCTTAAAAAGTGCATAGGCTGTACTGCTGATTTTTTTGCATAACTCTTCAGTATGTATTTTCCAATTAAGCCTATTATCAATATTCAGTCCTAGGAATTTAGTAGCGTCAATTTCATTTATTTTAATATTATTATATGTTATATTCATATCTTTAATTATATTATGTCTTTGTGAAAATTGTATTAAATTTGTTTTGCCTAAATTAATTTTTAAATTATTTTTATCCATCCATTTTATAATGTTATAGAGCGTATTATTAATGTCCGTTTCATAGTAAGCGCGATTGTTACATTCTATAACTACCGTACTGTCATCCGCAAATAAAGTAACAGGATGGTTAGTTACTTTGGGTAGATCATTAATGTATAGAATGAACAGTAAAGGCCCGAGTACACTACCTTGCCCCACTCCGTAATAAATTGTTCGTAAGTGAGACGTGTATACTTCTTCTCTTTTGTTTAAAAAGTTAATTTTTCTGAGCTCTGTATATTGTTTTCTGTTCGTCAGGTAAGATTTTATTAGGTTATTGACATTACCACGTACTCCACATCTATCAAGCTTTTCCAGTAGGGTTTTATGATCTACGTAATCAAAGGCTTGCGTCATGTCACAAAATATGGCGCTTACTGGTATTCTCTTATCTACTTTAGATATAATTATATTTAAGAATTCGTAGATAGCCTTGTTTATGCTCTTTTTATGTCTAAACCCCTTTTGTTCTACTGCGAAGAGATTGTATTTTTCAAGAAAGGAATAGAGTTGCTTAGAAATATATTTCTCGAACACTTTTGAGAATATAGGAATAAGTGTGATTGGTCTATAGCACTCCATATGTTCTTTGTTTCCTTTTTTGAACAGAGGTTTAACCACCGACGTTTTTAGTTTATCTGGATATATTCCAGAACCTATACTTACATTAATAATATGGCTAATAGGCTTCGAAATGATTGGGCTAACTGATTTTATTATTTTAGTGTGGATACCATCATACCCAACACTATTTGTGTTTTTAAGATTCTTTATTATTGTGTCGACGTCCTTTGGAAGGCAAGGCGGCATAAACATTGATTTGATGTTATTATCTATAGATTCTGTTATATTTGTGACATTGGTATGAACTGGTTTAACTTTATCTATAAAATAGTCATTAAACGTGTTTGCAATATGTTGCGGATTGGTAATTATTGTATTCTGATCTGTGACTATTCTTGATATAGACTCTCTTGGAACGTTTAGTTTTGTTTGATTTATTATCTTCCAAGTAGTTTTAGATACATTTTTTGATGTTTTTATATTGTATATATTTTGTGCACGTTGAGTTTGTCTAATAATGTACCTATATCTTTGTGCATATTTTATATAATTCATTTTATTTGTTTTATTTGGATTTAGCCTGTATTTCCAGAAGAGCTTTCTTTTATTTTTACTACACAGTTTAATGCCGCATGATAGCCACTTAGGTTTTTTTGTTGACTTAATTGTGGATATTTTATGTGGGAAGCACAGATCATAA